AAAGGAAAACTTGAAATCGCATCATATGACCCCTTTAAGTGTTATCATAGTCATTTCTATCTAAGTTCCTCTAACTGGTTGTGGCATGTGTGTGTAGATCGTAAGAAGGACCTGGTGAAGTTGCAAGCTGGTGAATATGTGTCTTTGGGCAAAGTGGAGGCTGTGCTCAAAAACTGCCCACTCATTGACAACATCTGCGCTTATGCCAACAGGTGAGTGCAAATACACACGGGCACACAAGAAACATGCATTCATAAATGTTGTATTGTGTTTTAGCTGAGATGTATAAATCTTTCCTTCTCTTTACACAGTGAGGAGTCTTATGTGATTGGGTTTGTGGTGCCCAATCAGAAACAGTTAACTGGCCTTTCAGAGCAGAAGGGCATCAGAGGATCATGGGAAGAGATCTGCAACCATGCAGAGATGGAGAAAGAGGTTCTACGTATCATCACAGACGCGGCTATAACAGGTCTGTCAACAGAGGGCAACCTAACAATTGTCTCCGTTTTTTTTTTTTATGAGTCGGAATTTATAATTGGCCACAGCTTTTATGGATGCTGAATTGGATTGATGGGAAGATTTCTGAATTGCAGTGCCAATGCCAAACTTGTTTACTGTATCACCGTTTTGCATCTTTTTACTTAGTAAAAAGTAACCATACTGGATGTTTACTTACCATCTGAAAATCTGACGATATGTAGATTTTTACAATACATCTTACAATATAAATCTTAGAATAACTAGAATTTTTGAAAGAAATTAAAACTTTTATTCAGCAAGAATGCATTAAATTGATCAAGCTGATTCGATTTCAAATAAATCCTGTTATTTTGAACTTCAAAAATATTTAAAAATGTATCAAGGTTTCCACAAAAAAAATATTATGTAAAACAACTGTTTTCAACATGGATAATAATCAGAAATGTTTCTTGACCAGCAAATCAGTATCTTAGAATGATTTCTGAAGGATCATGTGACACTGAAGACTGGAGTAATGATGCTGAAAATTCAGCTTTGCCATCACAGGAATAAATTACACTTTAAAATATATTACAATAGAAAATAATTATTTTAAATTGTAATAATATTTCACAATATTACGGTTTTTACTGTATTTTTAATCAAATAAATGCGGTCTTGGTGAGCTTAAGAGACTTCCTCTTAAAACTGTCCTCTTTCTCAAGTATTGTTGGGAAGTCTAATTCATTTGGATGAATTGGCTTGTTTAGGCAGTTCATTTCACTGATACAAATCCAATAAAAATTAATTCACTTTAAATGTAACTCAAAACCTTTGGCAAAAGACCATGCACAGCATTTTACCTCATCTTTTTAAAGCTTCTTGCTATATATACTTGTAGCTTAGCGAGCTACAGTTCCCAAAATCATAAGGCTCTGAATGTTAAATACAATCTCTGGTCTGATTCACAGGTAAACTGGAACGCTTTGAGATCCCAAAGAAAATCCGTCTGAGTGCAGAACCCTGGACGCCCGAGACAGGCCTGGTTACTGACGCCTTCAAACTCAAACGCAAGGAACTAAAAACGCACTATCAGGACGATATCGAGAGGATGTATGGCGGCAAGTGAATGAAGCCAGGCGGTGTTATGTGGTGGTGGGGTTTAGGACACACCATATACCACAATGCCTATATATGAAAAAAAAACATCCCACAATCCTCTGCCTTCCTGCTCCATGTGAAGCTCTGCAATCAAAACAGGGACACACTTGAATTTTCGTTCAGTTATGGTTTGATGAGAGGGAAAGGAACGACAGCGAATGCCACCTGCTGCAGCAGGTACTAAATAACACACTTTTTTTTCTCAGATGATTCACGAGAGTGAATCCTGAAAGACAGACAACACAACCTACAGACTGTGAGACTTTTGGACCCCACCCACTTGCTTCTCTCTCATTGGCTCTCTTTGATAGGCACGCCCCCTCACCCCACCCTCACATTGTTCTGCAGGCAGATGCGCTTGATGATTCCACCCTACTGCGAAGCGGTCACACTGAATTCTCATCAAGAGTCTATGCAGGGAAACGTTTTGTAATTTGGCTGTATTTTTTTTGTTGCTTATTTCTTCGTAAGCTTTGTTCGGACCTTTGTTTTTTCAGAGACTTGTTTTGGTCTGAAACAGCTGCCAGATTTGGATATGTATGGAATGCTTCTCTAACTGTTACAATGTTACTTTTTCTGGAACTTTGGCATTTGTACTTGACATTTTGTTACTTTGAACTTCGGCTTCTGTTGTTTACCTGTATCCAAAGGCTGTTTCTGTTGCCCTGAGTGAAATGAACAATGTATTTCAGGTACTAGTGCACACTGAGGACTGTGTACCTAGAAAGAAACCAGAAAAACCTAACAATCCAGACCAATAGAGACCAGTATTACACCAGATATCTGTTCTAATGTAACAAAAGCAGTTGTAATTCTGCACCAAAGCCGTTACGGAGAGCAGTCTTAAGCCAGAGACGTGCTCTAATACTACAGAACGCTTATACTGATGTTGCAGAAAGTTTTTTTTGTTTTTTTTTGTCAGGGCAACTTTAACAATAATCCGATTTCACAGACAGGCTCCAAATTGTACATTTCTATGTCAGCGAGTTTGGCGTCAGGTCTGCATCTGAAAGATTCACTCCTCGTTCCTCTCTGCTCTCCCACATATGGGATGTATTACTCCATACTTACAGCGTATATTTCTTTGAGCTCTGTTTTTGTCTGAATTTGTAAAGCCTTTAAACTTATTCCTTTCTAAAAATGTCTTGTGATCATATTATGTCAGCCACTGTGTTGCATGGATGTTTTGCAAGGGAGCCAAGTGTTGCAGTGGAGTAGTTTGGGTACCTATAAATGGCCGTTTTCTTTTATTATATTGTGATATTGTCATTGTAGGAAACGATTAGTGACTTCAACAAAGAGGAAAAGTATGAATTTGAATGTGCAATAGACTTATGTATTCTGAGATACAACAAATGATACGCACAGTCCGGTCCCAAGAGCATGAATGTCTCCAGCCTCTTCGATGTAACGGAAGAGACACATTTATTCTGCTTCAGACTGTGCAGATCACTTACATCATTCGACAACTGATGCATTATGATTCGCATTTGACATTGCATGATTCAGGAGTTGTAAACCAAACAAATAAGCTTCGAATAAGAACATATTGTATCGCGGCCATTAATAAATGTGGCATTTGCAAAATCGGGGCAAATGTTTCTAAATCTGTACATTTATTCATTATTTATGTGAAAAATGTAGATTTTTCAGCACTTAACATTTTCAAGACGAAAAGATCAGAACATTTTTTTTAATGTTTTCTTGATTGCTTTAGATTAATCTTTGGTTCTAGAAACACTCCAGCTTTGCCGTCACAACATAATTCTCTTTACTGAAAGTATTTTGTTTGTGTTTTATTATTATTTTGGTTTGTCCTAAAAGGAACTGAAGGCAAATGGTGTTCCTAAACTAGACAACTCTGCCTTTCCTGTGCTCAATGGAGGATGTTGATTGCCTTTTTTACACAGTGGAAATTAAAAGTGGTTTATAGGAAATTATACTTTTGATCATTTATTTCTGTCTTTGAATTCAGGGAGTGACACATCCCCTCTTAGTGCTGCTGTACTGCTCACATTGACTGTGCTTCATTTACATCCTGCGATGTCATTTGTTCCAGCCACAAGCATCTGGCCAATCAGCTGTTAGTCTAGAGAGAGCTCCACCTTATTCCCGATTTTCTGAGCCGAACTGTAATCTGATTGGTGTATATTCACCTTTCAGTCACGTCCTTGGCAACAGCTAACCGAATTTAATGACAGAGTTCGGCCTGTTGCACGCTTACGCCATCAACATGTCTGTGTTTAACCGTATCCTACTTTACGTTCTTGATGTCCTTGATGTTTAATGGCTACACACAGGCCTATTAAGCATTCTAGACACACAAAGAGGATGTTTGGTGGATTAATTCTCTCTACTTCTGTTACCCGCTCTGTAAATATGACTTTTATGTCAGAAATTCATAAAGGTAGTTGCATTTAGTAGATGTACAAATGTAATATCTCCATTAAATATGTTTAATCTGTTACTGACCAGGTTTGGGGTATTTTCTCCTTTGTGTGAGTGGTCACTGTCTTACCACAAGCAGGTAAAAGCAAACAACTCCATTATTTATTTGTAATTTGGCCTTGAAACTATGTTATAAGGAATAAAGTTTTGTGAATTACAAGGGGATTTTTGAGTATTATTTATCTGTGCCTTTATTTTCAGAAAAGTTTTTGGAAAACTTCTGCTTTGGTAAATAAGGGAATTTATAAGGTTTTTCTTTTCAGAATAGCGCTCCAAGGTTCATATTTATGATTTAAAATAATTGTATTTTATATAATTTATGTATATTTATATGAAGCTGTATATATAAATTAAGAGAATCATAAAGTATTTTAATGTAATATTATTTAGTTTAATATTAAAGTGGCTCTCATAACTGTTATTCACCAGTAGATGTCAGCATCAGATAATTTACCCTAGAGAGAATCACACTGAAGTCTACTGTACCTTTACATTTAGACATTTAGCAGAAGCTTTTATCCAGACAAATGAGGACAATGGAAGCAATCAAAATCAACAAAACATCAATGATATACAAGTGCTATAACAAGTCTCAGTTAGCTTAACGCAGTACATGTAGCAAGGGTTTTTTAAATAATATAGTAAATAAAAAGAAAACATAGAATAGCAAAAGAATAGAGCAAGCTAGTGTTAGAGGTCTTTTTTGCTTTTGTTAATTGTATAAACAATGAAAAGAAAACAGATAGAATACAAAAAGATTAGAAACCCAAGTGTTAGTTTTTTTTTTAAGAAAACAAGCAGCAAATGAATAGAGTGCAAGTCTAAAAGGGACAAGTGTTTTTTTAAAAAGAATAGAATTAGAATAGAGAGTGCTAGAGTTAGAGGGTCAAATAAAGATGACATTACAACCTTTAGCATTGTAATGTCAAATAATATTAATTATTAATTTAATCTAATAATATGCTTGAATGTTCCTTATAATGGCTTGGAAAACTAGCCCTTGATGACTTCAATTTTTAGTTTTTAGTTTTATGTAAACATTACTACAAGCAATATTACCGAAGATCTGCCATTTTCTAGAGTTAAAGTTAACATAAAAATTAAATTTATTCCATTTACTTTGTAATGTCAAATAATAATAATTATTATTATTTTAATATAATAATATGCTTGAACGTTCCTTATTACAACTCGGAAGACTAGCCCTTGATGAATTACATTTTTAGGTTTTATTTTATTTTTTTATGTACATTTTTTTTACAAGCAATATTTTCTGAAGATTTGCCATATTCTAGAGTTAAAGTTAACATAAAAATCAAAGTGTATTCCATTTACTTTATTTTCCCAGATGCACATTGAATGTCCTGTTCCACTCAGAAATATATATCATTTGCAAAAGGCAATTTAATTACAACTAATTGTAAAGGTCTTTTTTTTTTTTTTTTTAAACAAATCTCAATTTTCTATCAGAATTGTGCAAATGCAAGAGTGAAGACATTTTGAATACATTTTCCTATATAAAGCACGTCTCATTGACCTTACTCAGTTGACGTCAGAGTTTTGCATTTTTGTTTGGTATATGATGGCCTTATCAATGCTCGGTATATCAATGCTCGGCAGATTGCCATTTCAAAGCACGCCTTTACAAGACTAGAGTCAACTAAACAAGTCAGTCCTTAAGACAAGTATCGGTGTCCATGGAAACCAAGGCCATAAGCCGGCAGTGACTGTCTTTTATAGAGATCATCAGGAGGTGGAGATGGAAGGAGACAAAGACATTCTTAGAAACTTGGTGATAAGTCAGTGCAGCTTTGTGAAAGAAAGGACAGTCTGTGAATGGCATTATAGAAGATTTGATGGAAACATCAAATCAAACATTGTTCTTTTAATTAATGAGTCAAGCGCTGCACACAGCTGTGGATCAGGAACAGATTCCTACAAAATGACTGCATCGTTCATACCATATCAAACCTCACATACTGCTATCATCAATAAATACGGTGAAAGACGGACGGACAGCGGATAGACAGACAGACAGACAGACAGATAGATAGATAGATAGATAGATAGATATTTTTAATCTTGCATGAATATGTTTAGGTATATTTCAGGCTTTGGCTGCAGCCGACGAGCAAGAGAAGGAATTTCTATCAGAGGATCCTCTGGGAGCTTGTGGTAAACATGGATCACTGCCAAAAGCATCATGATTCTCCCAGTTTCCATTTATGACTAATTCTCAGAAGCCTCTCTCACTCTCCCTCGCTCGAACAGCATGTATTATTTTGTAGTTATGACGTGTACCTTTAATGAATATTGTGGCATCCACATATCATCTATTGTTCATTAAAACCCCATTATTAAAAACTCTTCAAACACAGTGAGTCAATAGTGTGGTTCGCTGTCAATTACTGGCCCTAAAAACACATATACACCTAAAGTGGGGTCCACAAGAACATTTTTAATATACTTCATTTTTTTTATTAAATTATATTTTTATAATTGTAATTATTTAAAAATTGTAGCATCAACATAATTTGAGAAACAAGTTAATTTACAGTAAAATTGATATAAGACTGTCTTAGTATTGTTGGATTACAAATTTATCAAATGTTATATCTAGGTTCCAATGTAATAGTATATAAACTGAAAAAGTTATGTACATTGTGTTTTACATTTTGAGGTAAAGATGATGACATTCTAAGAAGATCAAGTCAGGCAGCCCAGGTGTCTGAGACATTAACCTTTTGTCTTTATGCACTTCCTGACCATTGGGCAGGGTCCCAAGTTAAAGGTGAATGCTAAGCTCAAGGCACAGCTGTGCTTTTGTCTCTATGATAATGTGAAGGTATGGGCGATACGGTCAGGCTGATTGGATTAGCACCTATGCATTTGAATGACACTGTTATGTTGATGAGATCAGGGCTGGAGAAATTCCGGTAACGGGCTGATTCCTGTACTGCATTTGCATGCTTTGTTTAGATTGTCTCCACCTCTATGTATCCCTCCCCCTTGAAAGGTATAAACTACTGTGCTGAGCTATAGTCAGACTTGGATGACTGCAACGACGCACAGCGAGTCCTCAATAAAGAGTAACTCCTGTATGAAAGATAGCCCAACGTCTCCTGGTCTCTGCTTCGACGAGGAAAAAGTTTCCTACAGTATTTGGTTTGTCCTCTTTTGCTTTAATGACAGCATAATATGAAATATTTCATATTATATCACCAGTTTACAGAACAGAGTTTGTTTGTACAGACTCCGCAGTGATGTGAAGGTGTGTGTGTGTGTGTGAGAGAGAGAGAGACAGCAGACTGACTGTCAGGATGTGTTTGCTGTTCTCCATCTGTGGTGCTGGCAGCGAGAGATGAAGAATGACACATCAGAAGAAAAGCAATAAACAAAATAATCATCAGGGGAAGATGAGGAAAACCTTAGATTGACTCCTACACACAGACCAACATAAATGCATCCATATATATATACACACATTTAACACACACCCATGGACAAAATGGAGTGGGCACATCTGCATATGAGTCACTGCTGCTCAACCTCTCTCGCTCTCTGTGTCAATTCAATTTAGCATGCTTTATTGGCATGACAAACAACTGTACATTTGTTTGCCAAAGTGTCATCAGCTTAGATGTGAATTAAAAAAAAAAAAAATTACAATACAGAATAGCAACGGGAATTTCACATTGTCTGAAGAAAACATGATTGGTGCTTGCCTGCCCAAATCTTGCCACCACAATGCCAGGGCGTTGCTATGTAGTTGCTATGGTGGGTAGTTGCTAAAGTGTTCTGGGTGGTTGATAGGCTACTGGCCTAAGTTTCTATGAATTTTTATGCCATGTTTAAAAAATTATCTCGACATAGAGATAGATAGATAGATAGATAGATAGATAGGTGTGTGTGTGTGTGCGCATAGTTGGAGATATTGATATGTCTGGTATATGAGTCATCACTGGGATATATTTATAGCCCTTCTACCAAAAGAGAGAGAGAGAGATAGAGGAAGGGAGGGTGTCAGCGGGCCGCTCTGTGTACGTGTGGGAAGGGAAGATCTAATGAGAATCTCACTGTGTGGTCAAACTCTGGCACTTTTCGCACTGTGACAGGGCTGTCACCCGTTTCCTTATGTACAGGCCTCCTCCGGCTCTCTCTCTGTCTGTGCAGATGTAGAGCTGGATGATTTTAATGAACAGAGAGTCTCCAACTGCGCTCGGCTATGCAAGCGAAGGTCATTTTCCTGTGTTTTCTCCTCAGTGCTCAGTGTTTTTCTCAGAACTCTATTCATTAAAGGTGTGAAAACTTTCTGGGCTCCTTTTCATGAAACCCCGCACAAACACACACACGCACATTTATGCAGTTGCTTGGCTCATTTCTTGATTGTTTATAATTATAACCATATCTGTGATGTTCAGTATGAGGAATCTAATTCGCACAATCTGCCACAATAACAACAGTGTGTTCGTGCTGGTTTGATGTGGGCTGG